AAAAAAAAAAAAAAAAGGTTAGCAGTTACCATTACTTCTGCTGTGATCTCTCGCTGCCTCATGGTGTCACTGTTGGACACCGATCCCCTCGGTTCTCAGCTGGTGCGCGCCCCCTGCTCCCCACAGCCTTTCAGGCCCAGCTGGGGCCCTTGGGACAAGGGACAGCAGCCTCCCACTTTCCTAATCATGGCCAAGGGTACCCTGACTTGGTCTCCTAAAATAGCAGTTCACCTACACAGCCTCCTCCCCGGGAGACCAGCTAGCTGAGCAAGGCTGAGTCAGACTGGTTCCAGCCCCTCCAGCTGGCGAAACCTGAATCTTCACTCTCTTCCCCACAGAGACCCACCCTGCGCCCCCGAAGCTTTTCTGTCACCGTCTTGGAGTCTAAGGATCTGAGCGTATCCCTTTCCCCAGTGAGGCTACTCTTTGAAGGAAGTTACCAGGGTGAGTCCTGGGGCCCCACACCCCATTTTGTTCAGAAGGCTGTCTGTCCTCTGTGGTGCCAAGTGACTGACCCTCATTAGGAAGATTCCCCAAGAGATTAATTACCACGTGCCAACACGTGCCCTTGTGGTGGAACCACGGCCAGGGATCCTCGGGCACTTTTTTGTTTCCTAGAGAAGAGGGCAAAACCCCACACATCTACTGTCTGCTTCGAAATCACGTCATGTGCAATTTTTACAAACTGCACGCGTGATTCTAATAAGCAGCCAAGGCAGAGAATCACTGAATTAAGAAGACTGACACCTAATGGTTATTAATACTCACCTGTGCAAATGGCTGTGCGCTTATTCCCCAGAGGCTGCCATCCCCAGAACATTTTGATCCTAAAATATTGGAGCTAAATCCGTCCTTTGAGATCAGCTGACTCGATGATTACCAGACTCTGTGCACAGCCGAATCATCAGGTTGGTCTGTTTATCATATAGATTCTCACGTATTGCTGATGCACTGGGTCTGGGAGTGGAGAGGGCGGGGACCCCAAATCCTACTGAGATGCAACAAGGAGGGGACCTGTGAGGAGGGTGTGGACAAAGTGGATGGAAGGCTACCCACACAGTCATGCCCCGGCAGGGAGTTGTTAGAGGCAAGGGCGGCATCCCAGGTAGAATCAGACAGTTGGCATCAGAAGCTGGAAACACAATGCAGTTCTCAAAATTAAATCTTTTTTTTAAAGTATTTATTTGTATTTTTACCTTTTTTTAACGTTTACGTATTTTTGAGAGAGAGAGAGTGTGAGCAGGGGAAGGGCAGAGAGAGAGAGAGAGTGCGGGCCTCAAACGCAAGAACCATGAGATCATGACCTGAGCTGAAGTCAGTCGCTCAACCAACTGAGCCACCCAGATGCCCCCTCAACGTTAAATCTTAAATCTCTTGCCAATTAATATATCCCCTGTCTGGCTATTGGAGCATAATTTCAGATGGAAGAAAAATGTATGTCTAAAGCAGGAATCCCAATATCAAAACCCTCCGCGAGAGTGGAGGTGAGCCCTGGGAATGCAAGCTAGGAAACCATTGCTGCCAATGGTCAGTGAGGAAAGCCTTGGGCTCCGATGACCTCATGGCTCTTTTCTGTCGCTGGTGACTGGACACTCCCTTCCCTTTGCCCCCCTCCACCCACAGGCATATCAGACAGATGACCACAGGAGCACAGGGGAAAAGTGCTCCCCATCGATAACACACATTCTCATGTGCTGCTGTGGCCTCATCTCCTGAATGTCCTGTGATGTCAGGCTGAGCAAGCCTGAGTGAGGTCAGCGGGAACTCTCTCCCTGGAGACCCAGGAATTTTTTGAAAAGTCGTACAAGGACAAATGCCTGGTCATGCCTTGAATTCTCTGTGTGAAACCTTTAGCTCTGACAGCTCAAGTCCCATTTGCTCCTTGGCTTACCGTGCATGGTTTTGTTTTTCTGAGCAGTGTTCGCTGTGAGAGGTGAAAGAGTATTTTCATCTGGCTCCAGAGGAGTCAGCAAGGCAGGCTATCCAGCCAAGAAGGAGGTAATTACTGAACCAAACTAGGCTCAAATGCTACTGCCTCCAGAGCCCTTACCTCAGAAGGGGTCTCTCCCACTCCTCTGCATTCAGGCAGTGACCCTAAGTGACCTTTCCTGAGCTCCAAAGAACTCAGTTAGTGATAAGGAACTCAATGTGCGGGGACCAGAGCCTCCTGGGTGTCACCATTCCCAACATAATGCCAGAGCCTCACCAAAGTCCTTTCCCCACATTCTCATGCTCTCGAACCTCTGACCGCTCCCCAACCTTCCCCACCTCCTACTTAGCTAAATATTTGGGAGCTGAAACAATAGCCTTACTGAGGCAGTGGTGGGCAATTACTGGAAAGCCATGTGATTGTCCAAATTGAACCAATTTGTCAAAGACAGTTTTCCTTTCACTCATCACCTCCCCCACACCCCATGATAAGATAGGGTCCCCAGAGCACAATAATCCTTTCCTGAGATACAATGTAGAGGCTCCTGAGAAAAGGAACAAAAGTGAGGCTAATTTTGGCTTTTCTGGGACTAAAGGAAAGGAGGCAGGCCAGCCCCATCCAGCTCCAGGAAGCCAGGGTGGGCCTTGTTTCGTTGCTCCAGGGTATCTGCTCAGACCACCAGGGGATTTGGAGAACAATGCCAGGAGGGTGGGGAGGAGGGGAGCAGAGTCCTGGCCCTGGCTGCAGTGTGGGAAGCCTGGTCCCAGCTCTGAAGAGGTCTCTAAAATGACAATCTGTGACTTCAGATTTGAAATTGGTTTTAACTGTAAACTCCTCACCACTGCTCCCCAACTAAATCAGTGATGAATTAAGATTTGGGGATCCTGGGGCGCCTGGGTGGCTCAGTTGGTTAAGTGTCCAACTTCGGTTCAGGTCGTGATCTGGTGGTTCGTGAGTTCGAGCCCTGCGTTGGGCTTTGTTGACAGCTCGGGGAGCCTGGAGCCTGCTTTGGATTCTGTGTCTCCCTCTCCTTTCCCTCCCGCTTGCGCTCTGTCTGCCTGTCTCCTTCTCTCTCTCTCTCTCTCTCTCTCTCCCTCCCTCCCTCACTCCAAAAAATAAATAAATATTAAAAAAAAAAGATTTGGGGATCCCTACAGACAAGCAGTGGTCTTCATGCTCTTCAGGGCTCCGTGATGCCCCTAAAGTTGTAAGCTACTGTTGGTATGCATCAGCACTTTTTTCCAGGGTGAGGGTCCTTGACTTTCCTCTGATTCTCAAAGGGATCCACCGTCCCCAAAAGATGTGTACCTCTAGGAGGAGTGCGGCACCCAGGCAGAGCTCCTGTCCTTTATGGCAACGCTGGACAGATTTCAATGTGCATTAGAATTGGCTGGGTATCAGGTTAAAACGTAGACTATGATTCAGTAGGTCTGGGCAGGGCTCAGAGTGTGCATTTCTGACAAGCTCTAGGTGACTCAGAGTCGGCTGGTCCACAAACCACATGCTTGAGTAGCAAGGCTTGAGGGCTTGCCGTGGGTTTCTTACTCCAAGTCTGGATCAGGGCCATAGCCTCCTAACCCAACTCTCGACTACCTCCCGATGGCCACTGGAAGTGACATAATTCTAATCCCATTCTTCCTCCTTCCCCCCACCCCCACCCCAGCCTCTATGTTAAATAATGGCACTGAAGAATCCATAAACAAAATGTTTCATGATTTGTCTTCATCCTATCTTTTCTCCCATTGTCTCGCTCCACGATTAATTCCGTTCATGCTGGATTACATAAGGACAAGGACTGGGGGGAGCTGGACCAGGGTCTGAATCCTGTTCCTGTCATTTACTAGTTTTGTGACCATCTGATTTCCTTCATATGTACAATGGAAATAAAAATATCTACCTCATGGAGTTACCATGAGCAGCAAATGAGATAGTGTGTGTAGAGCATTTAGCACAGTGCTTGCATGTAGCAAATGCTCAATAAGCAGAAGCTGTTGTGACTTAATCACCTATGCCCTAGAGTTTCCATTTGTCACATAATAATGCCCAGCTTGGATTGTTCTCCCAATCCTGCCTGCATCAACTGCCATCTCCTCCTCCCCCTCCCCACCCCCAGGTACCATCCTGTCTTTCACCCAACTGTAACACTATAGGTGATTTCTTTCTCTAGCCTGCCTATAGACGTGGCTAACATAGTTTGGGGCACATTTTTTTTTTTATTATTAAAAAATTTTTTTCTTTGTTAATGTTTATTTATTTTTTTTAAATTTATTTATGTTTGAGAGACAGAGAGAGACAGCGTGAGCAGGGGAGGGGCAGAGAGAGAGGGAGACACAGAATCAGAAGCAGGCTCCAGGCCCTGAGCCGTCAGCCCAGAGCCCGACGCGGGGCTCGAGCCCACAAACCATGAGATCATGACCTGAGCTGAAGTCGGACACTTAACCGACTGAACCTCCCAGGCACTCCCTGAATTCAGTGTTTTAGATTGAGGGGTTAAAAGGTCTCTACAGTTTGGTTCGTTGGCTAAACCATGGATCTAAAGGTGGCCTACACAAAATGAAGTTAAATGCCAGAACAGCTTTGGCGTATTGTAGAGGAAGGTAGCCAAAAGCTTAGGGAGACTGGTATGTTAAAGTCAATTTATCATGTAAGACCTGCTCACCAACATCAGCAGGGTCAGGAGTACAAACCTTTTGCTCTGACTGTGAAAATAAGTTTGTGAAGGGAGCCTCAGCTTCCTTGTGGTCACTCTTGTCTATAGGTCAAACTTTCCAATAGGAACTGCAACCACCAAACTTATATCCCTCATGCAAGGGGATAATGGGATCTCGGAGCGGCAGGTACCAAGTGATAATCACTTAATCACCAAAGACAAGCTGTGTGTGGTTACCATCATGGACAATTGAGCCCAAGCAATAATCACAATATTATGACTCATAGAGACCTATGGTGTTTAGCTGGTGGATCACGGTCCCTTTGGGGAAGACTGAAAGAAAGATTAACAATGTTAGTAGAGTTCTTCCTCAAGGGAACCTGGTCTCTACTTCATTCAAGAGGTTCTAGGTCTGCAAACTGGTTCAAGTCTAGGAATTGATTGAAGGGCCATCATGACTCTGTTTTTGGTGATCCAAGATATACTACTTTTCACTCAACTCAGAACTCTTACGCTCATACATAGGCAAGATTCTATGCTAATTCATGGGCTGTGGTCAGTGGTTTGGCTGGATGGTCAGGGACTTGAAAGGAACATTATTGGAAAGTTAGTGACAAGGAGGTCTGGGAAGGAGGTAAGTGTATAGACCTCTCTGAATGGGCAAAAGACGTGAATGTATTTGTATTCCATGTGAATGTTCACCAAAGGGTAGCCTTAGCAGGGCGAAAATTTAATCAAGTGGATAAGACACCCTATTTTATGGATACCTGTCACCTTATTTCCTCAGTCCTATCATTGCCTACTGGGTTCGTGAACAAAGTGGGAATGGTGGCAGAGATGGAGGTCATGCTATGGGCTCAGCAACATGGACTTCCACTCATCAGTGCTGACCTGGCTATAGCCACTGCTGAGTGCCCAATGTGCCAGCAGCAGAGACCAACACTGAGATCATCTGGGGTGATCAGCTAGCTACCTGGTGGCAAATTGATTACATTGGACCATTTCCATCATGGAAACTTTGTTCCATCATGGCACTTTGTTCTTATTGGAATACCCACTTAGTCTGGGTGTAGATTTGCCTTGTCTGCACACAATGATTCTGCCAAAACTACCATAGGTGCACTTACAGAATACCTTATCTGTCATCATATTATTCCATACAGCACTGCTTCTGATCAAGGGACTTAACTTTATTGCCAGTGAAATGTAGCAATGGGCCTATGCTTGTGGAATTCACTAGTCTTACCACGTTCCCCCATCATCCTGAATCAGCTGACTTGATAGAATGGTGGGATGGCCTTTTGAAGACACAGTTACAGTACCAGCTA